GAGGAGCAGCACTCGACTTTGTGGGTAATGTAAATGGGGTGTGTAAGTAGTAAACGTACCCATGCGTCGGGTAGGGTGGTCAGATCAGAATGGAAACGGATATGTGCAGTGGTGTCGGTCAGGATTGAAGATTGAACCCGAGAATATCCCAATATGCCAATAACAAGGGCGAGAACCTATAAAATACAAATAAAAGAATAAACAATAAATTCCAGTGCCCCTAAAAACGATGGTTGAAAGGAATAACTTCATTCGCAGACTAAAAATTTCCAGTTTCTCAGAATCTGGTCTGGAAATCTGGGTATCTGTAAGGATTTAGGTAGAGCTCTCCACCTTGCAAGATCCTTGACACTATGCAGCCCATCCTTTTAGCCCACTGCCCGCGACATTATCTAAAAGCAGGTTCCCTTCAGAAAACTAACTCAAGTTTTACAATTTGATTGTTTAGGTCCAGAGTTTCTCGAAAAATTCATTTTTTTCTTTTTTTACCACTTTATTTTTCAGCCAGCCAGCGCTAGAGGTACGGGTATCAGCGTGACACGGAAAATCAAAGATATACCAGAAAAGACTCAACTTGTTGCTCAGCAGTAGGTTTTTCTTGGTCGTTCAGTAATGTGCCAAAAAACCGCATTATTGAAACTAGCATTCCAATGGAAGATATCGGATACACATTGAGTATTGTTTAGCTATGTGGATCGACCGCTGACTATAAACGGAGCAAAATTCGATCTTCGCCTTTACGTGTATGTTCCATCATTAGAGCCATTACGTATCTACATCTATGAAGAAGGTCTGGTACGCTTCGCTAGTGTTCCGTGAGTATTGATCACTATTGCTTTCAACCATTCTCTTCATGTGAACTAATTTGGAATTCTTAAGCTTACTGGTTAGTCTGGGAATCAATAGTTATTTGGCACTGATTTCGGTTTCGATCGGCAGTGGGCTCTTGTGCCGACTAAGTTTTTTATGAACGACGATTTATCACCGCCACCAGGTTCTGGAAGTCTGGAAGGGTTCCAAATTCTTTTGGAATGTTATCTACCACACCTTAAACCAACTTAACTATCACCAAAAATAAAATGGTTTTAAGTCCAAAAATAACTTTTTTCGACATGATCGTTTTGAAAAGTTTTTGAAAAATTCATGTTGAGAAGTATTTTGAAGTATCCTTCATGATTTCCAGGTATTCACGGTGTTTATCGACCTTGTCCAACAAGTACATGCACCTTACTAACTACAGCATCAACAAGCTCGCCGAACAAAATGGTGTTGCTGATTCGCCGGTGCCAAAGTGGCGACTGACTCAGCTATGGGAGTATTTTGAAAATGAAGTCAGTTTGCCCTTTGTCTTCATTTACCGCTTTTATTGTAAAGTAGAAGGAAGTAATTTCAGGGAATTGATTCGTCTGCTGTTCGTGAACAGATTGAAGATGTGATTGTGAAGGCGTTTATTGCATGTGAGAAAGCTATCCGCGAACATATGGTCCGTCATATTCAGCACGGGTTCGTTCATTCTAGAATTTTCGCTTTTTTTCGTTTTTTTTTTTGTTTTCCGAATATGTTTTCCTGACTACGAGCGGAATTGAAGTTCCATTGAGGTGTTCTCTTGAACTATAACCTGGGCGATTTTCTTTGACCATCATGTACAGCGGTCACTGAACCTTTTGACGATCATACTGAATCTCTAGCCAGTCTAGACGGCTATGTATCAGCCTCCGAGAATGTTTTTTAGTAGTAACCAATCTTTGCCAAAGTTTGGGTGAGAAAAGGAGCGTGCGCAAAACACGGTGAACAGCTTAATCTATACGATTTTTACCACTTTTTTAAATTTATTTTGTTATTTTTTGGCTGCTTTTGTTGCTTGTCATTGCTTTATTTTGTTCAGATTCGTTTGCCATGAACTGTTTGGTGTAGACATTCTACTAGATGAAGATCTTAGGCCATGGCTTCTCGAGGTGAGCTTTTTAGAAAATGCCCTTTTTTAAATTTTTAATTTCCATAGCCGCGTAGCAGGCCACTTTAGTAAATATTATAGTTGCTGGTAAATAGTTGATTAATTTTCAATAGTTACTACTTGGTGTCTATTATTTTAGGTCAATATCTCTCCTTCTTTACATTCCGGTACGGCTCTCGACGTTTCCGTCAAAGCGCCATTGGCCAAGGATGTTCTCAACATGGCTGGAATAAATGTTCCTCCTTGGTACTTTTTAAATTTATTCGTTTTTTTCTGGTAATTCTGGTAATTCTGAAATTGCACCCAGCTGGAAGCTTAATACGGCGAAACATTTTGTACTGAGGAGTTGTTGGTCCTCTCACGAATGTGGTTTCAGTATGGAAAATCTGGCAACAGCAGATTACAGTACCAAACCGCGGAATTGGCCGAAAGAGGAAGAGCACACGCAGGTGACCGTCTTACACATTATTTTGTCAACCGGTTGATTTTTTCTTCACTTTGTCTTTATTATTATGTATTCTTTGATCTTCATTACTTTTTGCATTACTTTCTTTTACACTTTATTATTATCATATTTTACCACTGTCTAACATCTTCTACTATAGCGGAATTCTCTTTTATTCTAAGGTATCCACCAATAAATCAATTCAGAAAGAATCTGCTTGGACGGCGGCATTTTTGGATGAAGGTCGATTGAATCGTCGAATTTTAAAGAGATTTACTCGAGAAGATCTCCGTATACTGGTTGAGTTTGAAGGTATGTTGTTTGTTTTTCAAAG